TTTTTATTTTATTTAAATTTACTTATATAGTTGTTCTTGTCAAATGTATGCAAAAAATTAACTTTTTTTTTTTAAACATTGGTTTCAAAATACAAAGAATTGAGGGTTGCATTGTTAGATATTGACAAACATTTTTTTTTTATTTAGTAACATGCAAATACACATAAAATATACACATAAACATTGCCTGTTACTCGAGAAGCCACAAATGACACGCGCCTAAAGCTTCCAAAGCCAAGTTAATATGACATAACCCTCAAGATGTCATGCTCCGAAACTTCGGCAAATGGTTTAGCGAACTTAAAATCACTCACCTGCACTGAAAAGTGTCCACACGGTGAATCGGGCTCGGTTCAGCGTCTACCTGACGGGCGCATACAGATCAGGTGAGGTTTAGATCTGCGTCGGTACGTCCTTTCAGCTCCAGCAGATCAAACGGCCGAGGACCGACTGATCACGGCTCTCCAGGAGGACTCTCATATCCATGTTGTTGTTTTTTACAGGCATGAGACGACAGAAGACGTATTTGCAGAAGTTGAACAGGTACCACCCTTCCGGATGACAGGGGCTAATGTAAACGGAAGTGTGTGTTTAATTTGTTATACATGCACTGTGACCCATCTACGCTGTGTGTGTTACTGTTGAACACTAACCCTAACCCAATTAAGAAAATGTCAGTGCATTTTATTAGACTAAGGCAGTTAAAGCCTATTTTTATAGATTGTACTGTTTTGATTGTGAAATTTGATGGTCTGTATCACATTTGGGGGAAAAAAAGAATTTCTGAACCATAAACATTCATCAAATATCCTATCTGACATAAATACAGGAGGCAACCATATTTAGTATTCATAGAGTTATTTAGACTTTAATCTGCAGTACGTTTATTTATTCACTAGAATTCTGTCACTTTTGGTATTTATAGATGTACACCATGTGTTAGACTAGCATATAAATGTAGATTACCGTATGAGACTAGTATACTTTGTTTTGTTATCAAGACTGAACAGCTTTGTTATTATTATTATTATTATTATTTTGCATTCAGTTTTATGGCTTAATGTTATTTAAAAGACTATTTTTCTTTTACAGTTTATTTAAAGACTTTAAAAAAGTGAAAAAGTTATTAATAATGTCATTACATAATGCGGCGTCAATTCCAAAGTTGCGCAATGACGTCGGGCGTGACCTGCCGGGGTTTCCAGGGCAACGTGACTTGTGGAGACGGAACTATTCAGTCGATTTATTGCATTCGATAATTATATATTTTTTAAAAGATCTTGCTTTTGATGTTCAAATGATCGTACACAATAGCCTAGGTAAAAACAGTGTTTTTAAATTCTGTGCACTTTATTTTTAAAGTTTACTCGTATTGTTGTGACATAAATCAGGCCACATTCACTAAAGTGTGGTGATATTGATTTGCACCAGGTTTAAACTTGAAAAGACTGTCGCACCTTAAATGTTGCTGAATGAATGCTAAAAAGTTTTATTTTTATTTTTTATTATTATTATTTGGCTTGAGTAGGCTTTTAAAGCGCAGCTGATTTAATTAAATAGCTTAATACATAAGACTGCAAGACATTTCTGTATTGCATAGTCTTAAACATCATTGTTATGAGAATGACTGGGGAAATAACAAGCACACACAGGTTCGTGAGCACATCAAGTGTGAGGACCTCCAAATGATGGTCCACAGTCGAGAGGTTCAGAGCCTTCTAAAACCTCTGTCACTACTCTGCCACATGGACCTCAGTGTTAACAGGATGACAGGTTAGTGCTTTTTTTTTTTTACCAAGCTAGATAATTCACTCTTGAAGTTTTGACATAAAGATTATATTGCTGATTTATAAATTCATTCTCAGACAGATCTAAGGAGGTGAGATCAGACTCTTCAGCTTATAAGAAGGATAAAAGCAGTCCAACCTCTTTGACACAGTTGTGCAAACAGCTGGAGGAGAGAATCACTCGGAAATCACTGCGTTACCCCATCCACCATGAAGACCGTCAGTCTCTGGTCAGTCTCAGACAGATGCTTTAAATAAATATTTCAAACATCGTCTGAAGCCTTTTGTACAATAATACAGATCAAGTATTTTATTACATTAGATTGGATTCTCCTAATCCGCAAAAAAAATGCCTAGGTGTTCTCATGTTTTTTGATCTATAGAAGATAAAATACACAATTAGAAGGTCAAAATGATACTGTATAACATTTTTGCATTTGACTTGTGCTATATATATAAATACACACTCCACTAATGTTCAAAAGTTTGGGGTCTGTAAGATGAAAGAAGTCTCTAATTCTCCCTGTTTACTTCATTCACATATCAATAAAAAAAAAATACAGTAAAAAATGTAATATTGTGAAATATTATTACCACTTAAAATATCCGTTTTAAAATATTTCAAAATGTGATTTTTTTTATGTTATTTATTTTCAGTAGCCATTACTCCAGTCTTGAGTGTTACATGGTCCTTCAGAAATCATTCTAATATGCTGATTAATAATAATTAATAATAAGAATTATTATTATATTTTTCTTAGTCTTATTTAAATATTCTTCTATTCTTGTGTCATATATGTATGATTATTTATGTATGTATGTATGTATGTATGTACCGAGAGCTCCTGAAAAACCACAACAAATTCCTTGTGTGTTTGCGCACAC